AAAAGTAGATGAGTTCTCTTGTATAAACTTGTGGGCACGATGAGCCAAATCAAATCCTGAACAATTGAATATTTCACTAGTTTTGAGATTGACTTTGTCAACGTTGTACTTCAGGAAATTTATGAAAAAGATCGACGACTTTTGGAGTTGTTGATCTGAATGAGATGATGCCCGACAAATGACTATATATTAGATTCTAGTTGGCAGTGGAGTCCGGGACTCGGGTTTCCTTCTGCTTAAGATGAACCGGTTTCTTATTCATAGTCGGAGGTCTCACAGAGACTCGAACGCAGTTACAGTAGCTGGTTTTGTGTGAACTCCATCGTGAACAACAATGTTCATTGAAATAAGGAGATGATGAGTTGAATAACCCCAGGTGGTACGAAACGTGTGTTTTGTGTTTGACTGCTAACCGCTACAAAATGATGTTTGAGTTTGTGATCTAAGCGTCCATACAAATAGTCGATACCTCGATTCAAGCTCTCAGATTCGGCCATGAGGTTAGTAGAAGCCTTAGTGAAGTTTTCATGAAATCACTTATGAATGATTGTGTGATGCATGAACGCAGATTTCGGCAGTTCAAATTAAAAACACGTATTACTTGACACTAAATCGTAGCAGTGGGAAGTCAATATCAGCTCTTAATCTGGGTGCAAAACTTACGAACTCATCGTTTTCAGAAATTTCTGTGTATAAACTTTAGTTAAAAACTAAAAAAATTAGTAGTTCAGTGCATATAAAAAACTTGAATTTTCACGATCACCTTCGCAACACTAGAGACATTAAATAGTGAGATTATTTGAGAAAGTTGAAAGCCTTTTCTCAGTTTACCACCAGAGGCGAATTAAATGTACCTAATTTTGAAGGATTAAGGGACAACTTGTGAATTTCGCTAAACTTTCTAACGACTGAACTAGCGACCCTTTTGGTTGACAAATTATCGCTATTCGCTCATTTTATAGATGTCTATCAGAGAACTATTGAAAACCAGAGAGTATCAGGTACCCTCTCAGTAACGTAGCAGCTGCAGGTATCATTAAAAAAGGCTCAGATTGTACTGAAAACATTTTACCACTCAGTCTAGGCATGGGAATAATAAATTGACCGAGTGGATTTGCAGACATCAGTACTTAAATAACAGCAAAAAAAGCCTGAATATTTATGAAACGTACGCAAATAATGACTGCTCCTTCCGATACCTTATGTTTCACTGGGCAACGAAATAATAATAATAATAATAATAATAATAATAATAATAATAATAATAATGACCACTTTCATTGGAGCATTAAGAAAAAGATTTCCTTAATAAATTGAGTAAATATTTATCCATTTCACAACCTTTCCTCAGCTGTAAAGACACTGGAATTGATGCAGAATTGGTATAAGCAGATAAAGCGAGATTAGAAGGATTAGTGACATATCTATCAGGATTTTTAAGGAAAAAATTAGTGTGATTTTTATTATCAGTTGTTACTTACTTTCTCTTGTACATTCCATTTCGTTTTACTAGTACTGGAAAACTGTAAGAATTTCAAATGGCATATTGTTGATAACTCCGAGTGGCTTGAAAGGCCATTCAAGACACCTACTAAAATAGCCAATCAGATTTCGGAAATTTGGCTAGGAAAATAGTCCTTCATAGCATAGGATAACCTTTGAAGTCACACCATAGTTTCCATAAGACGTATGACTCACCAACATGGAATGCAAGTTTACCTTGCAGCCTTAGTTTTACATTCCGGATATGTAATTTTGTGACATGAATAAGACTGAATATACTTAGCTGCAATCTACTGAATTAGAAAGCTTTACAAAACTGTCTGAGGAAGGTGTGTGATTTGGAGCATATAACTGATAAAAACTCATCTTTCTCACCTTCATTTAACCTTTTAAAAATGTAGGAAATATCTTGATAGTGAGACAACTACTTAAGGCTGCCAGCAAGTAAGCACACAATACATCTAAGATTTGGATAACTCGAAATTTGAGGCTTACATTAAAATCCTTAGAACAAGTAAAAGATAAAATCCCATCCCACTGTAACTGTGATTTTAAATATACGTGGATCTCAAGCATATAGGATGAACTGAACAATCATTGAAAAGTAGGACCACGGGACATATGTCAAAGTGACTTCAGAAACGAATAGGGTTGTCTGACTCCTTTGATGTTGGAAACAACCAAGCCCGTCGATGAACAAATTATTAGAACGTAACACAAAATAGATGTGCAAACGTTATTTTAGCCCATCTATTCGACGTGCTGAGATGCAAAGTTAATTGAGGCATTAGTCATTAAGAGGCTTAAACTACTTTAGTGTGTTCAAAACAGTGTTTCATCCTATTAAAACTCATTTAGTAAATTAGGCTTTAAAAGCATTAGTTTTTTATTGCTTCATTTAGCTTTATTGATATTTCCACCTTCAGCATACTCTTCTCATATGACGGATACTGATTTTCTTACTCCTTAGCTGGGTGATTTTTCACAAAGTACATTTTGTGTTATCAAACTGTTCGAAATGTGTTGCGTAAATAAATTACTCGATGTGGATGGATTTCGTCTTCTTATTGTTTTGTCAGAATTCATAAAGGAAACTAAATGATACAAATTTTTTTTCAGCATTGATTAGTTTACCGAATAAAGTGATGAAAGCAACAACACCTCCGATGAGCTTAACCCTAAACAAGTGAGATGGGCATCCAATGTTTAAAACATCTTCAGGCTAACAACAACTGCTGGTCGCGGTGAGTGGTCTACAACTCTTCATTTTAGCCATCAATATCACCACTATTCACATTGGTAACTGTTTTTTATACTCATTTTTACCTGTTGTATTTATATTTCTCAATGTATATGGTTACTTGTTCTAACTCAAAAGGAAGTCTCACATTTTGATTCCAAACTTATTCTGTTTTTATTACAGACTGCTTGCAAGTAAGGAGAATTACAGAAATATGTAAATATGAGCCCAATTTATTTCATGAATCTTGTTCTGCTTTCTACCTGCCCAAGTTTTCAGTTTTTGTAATTACTGAGGGAATATTTGCAGCATAAACAGTATAACATTGGTAGACACATTAGGAACTTTTCAAGATCATCACATACGCCTAGCTTAGCCGCAAATTGAACTGGTCCGTCTCAAGAGTAGGAAAAGTAGATTACAACATGAAAAATTAGAGAACGTGAATACAATTTGTTCAGATTCATTTGTTGAAATCAATATTTATTGCATGAATTCGCCTGCTGTTTGGTGGAAGTTGTACTGGATGCACTATGGGCAATGCTTCCAGATGGATAAAGAAACACCTATCAATATACGGTGGGTGAGAAGTCATAAATGTTTCTTGTACTATGAGAAGGTGCTTCTGATTACTGACTAAGCATTCCGTAGTTGCTAGTACTCTGTGAGATCCCGAATATACTAACTAACATATGTAATAATGATGGATAGTCGGTAGCAGTGGAATCCAGGATGCTCATTGCATCCTATTCGGGACTCGTCAGCTGGATGTACCTACCTCCTAGTGAGTGTTGTTCCCACCGAGACTTGGGAGCGATCGCTTCAAACGCCAGAGCATTATCCACTACACCACCGAGCCACGGCAGCCACTTCTTGTGTGACGGGTATTGTTTTAGTATAATTGCTTGTATTAAACAAGCAATTATACTAATACTAACTAACACACACGAGATTCATCATGGTCTTTTCTAGACTACCTTAAGTCAGTCACCATGAGAACTATGAGGTTTGAATACGTGAATAAAGCCTTTATGTAAACATCTACTGTACCGTGGTTTGTTTTGTACTTAACCCAGTGTGATGCAGCTACTTCAGGAATTATTTATTGATCCAAGTACTTGATCAAATATTGTTTGAACTAAAAGTCAGTAGGGTATGATCAATTTCAGAGTGGTTTTCAGGAAAAACACTAAATTTGTCGAAGTATTCGTTAGCTGTTTTGTCGTAGTTCAGAATTCCTCACCAACTTGCACCTATGACGCCATCAGTGATTGTGTTCAAGAGACTTCAGATATCATGAATGGTGAGTACCACTTGTGAACTGCCTTACATAAGTGATCTCAGGTTTCCCATGATTGTCTGACTGATGTCAGTAAGTTATCGGAAACCTCTTTGTAATTAAATATTCTTTGCTCTCTGTGTGTATGCATCTGGTATGCTGGTATTCACTTTTGATTATTTTCTGATTTTCTAAATCTTTTTACTATCGAAATACACTACTGATATTGTTCAGCAGTACTCTTGGACACTTTTGCATCAGACTGCATCCTGTGACCTTGCCTACGGATGATTTCCAGATGAAACCTTGTTGAACCTATAGTTGGGAAGTTGAAAAACTACGCAGTCATGAGAAATGTCAAAATGGAACATTCAATTTGTAAATTATTTGGAAACTGTTCATCCTGCTTAAGGTGTTGTCGGTCCACGTCAGGTAGCCTGATAAAGTTGGTTTAAACAATCTGGCTTCATAACTGAATTTGCCCAGGTACACCACTGATGAGGCCGTCCACGAACTAGCGATTTGGCCGTCTGGTGGTCAGATCACTCTTTCTGGCTGGCTAGCGAAATCTAAAGATCAGCCTGAGTGGTTTTCAACTGTTCACTTTGTTCAGTAGTACATTTCGAAACCTCTGGAAACTATGTGAAGTTCATTTCTGAATGGCGTCATTAACCAGACGGCTGTGCACCATAATAGCATTTACGCAATATGGTATGGACACTGAAAATGAAAAACTTTTTCCATGAACTTCCATTGACTTCTGATGTCTAAATTGATGATTAGACGTTTACTAGTCTCAGCTGTAAAACAGTTCAACTTCTGTGAAATAAATTACGGGATGAAAAATTTGGAATGATGACATTGTTTTATACATTTAATAAAATCATGCATTAATTTTCAGATAATCATATAATTAAAACAAATAAACAATATTCTTTGATTGCTTGATAATGAACTGTAGAATGTCAATCTGCTTACTTTCAGTAGGCGTAAAATTCGAAAGCGCGCCATATCTTTTTCATAAAAGAACGAGAATAAATCCAATGGGATAATTGAAGTGATATCAATCTGATTTTTTGAAAATAAAATTGAGAAAAATTTGTTTAAATCATTTGGTAAATCAGTCATTGACAAGGTCGAACACAATTTTTTTTTCATGAACAACAGAATGATGTTGACACATGGTACTTTGAAATGTCAAAATAAAACCAGTCTTTCGTTGATACAACAATTTGGATGCGAATGGTATAACAGTGAACTTCATGAATTCAACACTAAGTGGTGAAGGTTAGAATCTTTAGCGGAACGAGAACTTCGTTATTGTTGCTGATGAGTGCCAACAAGCCCGAAACCTGGGTACAGTTAGACCTCCTTCCTGCGGAATCTTACATATAACTCTAAAAAATAGAGCCACAGAGTGTTGCATCACTTAACAATGAGGATACACAGCTAAATGGATCAGTAGACTTTGGTCAATGTTGATCATTGCGACAAAAAATTTACACCTACGGGACATTCACTTTCAGGCCTTTTACATAATCCAGTTCAGCAGAGTACAGTGGTGAAATGAATACCTCAATGATATTGTTTCTATCTTTAGCACTATGTGAGGCGTTATCAGATTCCTGAGCTAAAATCATTTTCCCCATTGTTTCAGACTCACCTTATGGGTGAGTACCAACAAGCCCGAAACGTAGGTAGTGCAGGATATCCTGTCAGTTGCCTCGTAATATTTAACACTTTAGATCAGATTCTCTTATCTTTGACATCTTGTGAATAATGTTGGGAAATCTCAGCAAATTAAAACTATCTTCAAGACCAAAGTTCAATTTTGAAGAATGATATCAGTCACATAGAGCAAGGGAAGTACAATCCAAGGTAATACTAGAAAAAAAAACTTTTTTGCTGCATTATTTAGTAGATTACAATGTATTAGAGTCAGACATAAATTTGTGAAAGTCACCGATATCAAAAATCGGTAAACTTGTGGAAGAGAATATGTAGTTTCATATGTTATTCAGAAATGAGTTGGTTGTGCTTGGGACTAGAGGTAGACTATATATGAACGACGAATGCATACTTGAACACATGAGTAATATTACCACCTCAGTTACCTGACTATTAACGATCATGAGAATAAGGTGTAGGTTGCTTTCGGTTACGCAAAATAGTTTCAAGGATCTTTATTGTGAACAAAGCAAGAGAACAGTGGCTTCGATCATAGTATGAAACTTGAAAATTAAAAGAAACTCTTGCCAGTTATTCACTTCCTTAAATTATATTAACCTAATGTAATGACTATGCAGCATTATTGGTGTACTGATGCCTAGAATCATTACGCACAGTTAATTGTTAACTGAAATGATACAAAATTCCTAAAGAATATTACAGGCAGTTTGTGAATTTGATCTTTGTAATGATTCCTGTCCTTGATTTTTGACGCCTATCAGCCAAGTGTGTCTGCAGTCTCTAGGATCCTGATGTCCTCTAAGAGATTTGGATGTCCATCAGTCATTGTCACAGTCTGGTTCCTTTAGTTGCGATTGACGCCCTGCTGGAATGGGCTGAAGAGTAAGCGATCCCACGTTCTTCAGTCTTCAGTACTCTCTGAGTTCGATTGGTCGCTGATGCTGGAAAATTTCTGCGTGTCCACCTAAAATCATTCTTATATGTATGATTAGAATCATTAAGTTTCTTCACCAGAGTGTAGCTTTCTTGGTGTATAAACCTCTTGAAGAAAAAGTTACCGCTGCTTCTTGCTCTACTTAAGTTTATTCAAATAATTTCCAATTCTCCGGAAATACGTTGTTTGGACGCGTTAACCGACTGAATCCCTTTTAGGAATCTGTCAGCGACTCTTTGAGAGCATGGGGGATTTTTCGAGTAAATTTCATACAAATCAAGTGAACAATTTGGGGACGAAGGGAACGGAGAGTGTGAAATGTTCTTGTATGTGAAGTTCAATATAGCTCACCCTAAATCGACTGATCAAAAAACATTTAAAGCTAAATTATTGGAAGATTCAGTTTTATTCAGCTATGATAAACGCAAAGGATAAACGCTACATTTTAGTGGCTTCATGTTCTTCGAGCCAAATGGTCTCGTAGTGATGCTTTCATTTCCAGACAACATCGTGAGCATAATCGTCTTTCATCCTCCTGAGTTATAAATATTCTCCGTCATCTCAAAATACTACCTTGTTGTTCACTTCTTACCTCATGATTAGACGAACTGTGATAACCACCAAGTTACGGATCAAATGTTATCAAGCAAATGCATTAACTGAAGCTAAAGTACTCGTGCAAAAGTCTGAAAACTGTTTGTAATTTACCAAGTACGGTATTAGCTGTGTGAATAATGCCTGATGACAAGTGCTTTTAATTTCTGCTTTTCAATCGCACACTACTACCAAGTAGTAAACATTTGTCTGCAAAACGTTCTAACAGAAAGTGACTGGAGAATGACCGAAAATGATGTAAACCAACACAATTTCATAAGTTACTTTGAAACTTATAGGATCATATGATCAAATGAGTGTATTCCGCTACTTTGAAACGCTCAGTCACGATAAAGAGACTGCTGTAATGTTGGTACTCTCGTAAGTACTTGTATAAGGGTATTGACCTTAATGATTTGGTTGGTTTACCTTTGAGCCGTTCATTGTCATTTTAGACTGCATGCTCATCACAAACTACACACAGAAGTGAGCAGATAAAATTTCTCTACAAATGGATTGTTAGAGTTTCTTGGTGACCTGAAATATGAACGGTCGCTTTAGTACTTGTGTTTTCGCTGTCTGCACATGTGTTTCAATTGAATTTGCTTCTTATTCGCCTGAGCTCAAAAAATATATTTGTTTATCTTTTTCTTCCTTGATTGATGGATTGGATACCCAGCGAAATTCACCGGTGGGTTTGAAACGTTTCCTAGCATTATTCACATTTCTTCTGTTTACTTTTTCTATATTTCTGCAGTTGAAATTATAAAAACGCTTCTTTTCAGACAATGAGATGAAAGAGAATGCTTCATATCATTTAACGCTCGATGAGTGCCAATATAAACAAAGTTGAAGAGAGTGACCCTCTGTCTGGTGTATTTCTGACTGTGGTTGTCTCGGTTTGTCTTTTAGATTATGTGCTAATTGTCATTCTTTTGCCGATTCTTTCTTGATCTGTTTAAACAGGATGAAAAGTTTTTGTAGGCTTTTATAAACGACTCAAATGTGGAGAACAATTCGGGTTCCGAAGTACCTTCTGCACTGTAGGTCTTTTCCGAACAGTATTTTCTCCAGCCTTGTCCCAGTTCGTTTTAGCAAGGTAATTACGCATTTATTTACTTCTTCGTCTCCCCCTGCTGTTGGTTTTGCAGAAGTGGACAGCTCTTGCTGAAGGAACGAGGAGCTGCAAGAAGGTCAGAACGAACAGAATAGCCAATAGACAGATATGTGCAGACCACAACAACACAATAACACAGACAGTCAGTCATATCCGAAGTCACTAAGATTAACCATTTATTCACATTTAGCGGAATTCTCACAGCTTACTTACTACCTTCTAACATTTGTTCTGATGTCGCACAGAGTGGCAATGAAAAGTTCATGATTAAACTGCAACTTTACCTCGAATATTTTAGTGAGTTACAAATGCTGTGTCTAATCTTCAGAGGTTATAGATACATTCTACGTGAGAAGTGAATGTACTTTCATGAATAATGCTCATATGCTATTTTCAATGGTTCGTCATTTAAACATACTTTTCGTTGAAGCATATTTCACTTAACAGCTAACTGCAGTTATACAACAATTTCAACAAGTTCAGTAATCCTAGGTATCTGTCAGTTTAAAATGTTGACCACACCGTCCATTGTAAACTTGCGTCATCCATCTGTGATTTTACTGCAGATAAACACGAAAATGGTTAAGTCACTCAACACTAAATTAACCAGCTGCAACTCAACAAATTGTAATTTTTAATGCGGAAATCTTCCAAAAGAGCAAAGCCAACTATCTGTCAACACTGGTGAACGGTTCGCTTCGGAGAGTTGAATATCACGTAGTTTCAACACAAAGTAATAACCAACTGATGATGATGATGTCAGGAGTTTCAGGATATTTTTCATTTCATGGGACTTCAACAGCTAGCTTTCAAGCTATAATCAAAGCATTCGCTATCAAATATTAATTTTAACTGAAACTACCGCTTACTTGTTTCCAATGAATCGTGAATTAATTTTACTTCATAAACTGTCCAATGAAATTGCAGCTGTTCGTTATTGGACTTTATCAATCTATTTTGTAACTGATGATTAACGACACTCGGGAAAAAAGTCATAGATTTTGATTTTGTGCTCGTAAGAAAGGTGTATCTGCAATCCTAGGGAAAACAAGCTTGTCCTGCTGATTTTCAAACCTTAATCGTTGAGACTTTGGGAGGAACAGTGGCTCATTTATCAAGGCGCTCGAATTTTAGCCACCGATTATACAGCCGTACTCCACCTACTGAAGTTTGAGCAACTAGGTATCATTAGCCCTCACACAATAAGTATAGACCATTGTATAGTGCATGAAGCATTCATGTTGTTGCTGAGTTGTATTCTGACTTTTGTCTACCATATGTATTTATATCACTATCGTGACAGACTGAATTTAGCAAAATAAATATGTAAGGACAGTAACATCGGATTTTAAAAAACTGACTGGTTTAACTATGTATTTCTTGTAATCTTTGTGCAAACAAGATAGATATTTTCAAATATAAGACGTGTTATACGATTGCTTTTCAAATGCTACGCTGATGTACAAAACAAAACAAACAATTCGAGCCTCTATCTAGAATAGTATGGATAGCATACATCTAACAATTAAGATCCAAACCTTGAGGTAATCATCATTAGCAGAATAAATTTAATTTTTAATGAAGATTGAAACTACACTATAAACTTGAAATATGTTAAGGTTCAAACTAGTAGTTTTCTTTTCATAGTACTGAACAGTTTATCGACTAGCTTGGACGGAGTAAATATCCACCAAT